ACCCCCACTCTAGCAACCCTCAGTTTGTTTCCTGAGATTAAGAATTGCTCACAAATATTGGTTTCTAATACCATTCTTCAGTAACAGGAGCCATGGCTCCACAGAAAAATAGCTGATTCTAAGACTGAGATAGGAAATATACAATATAAGCCCAGAGAATATTACAGTCCCAGAAAGTAAGGAAGTGCTCAAAAACAAAGCATAACATCACACTGATGGGGGCAAGTCTAAGGGCCACAGGAACGAATTGAAAGAACTCCCAGTGGCAAAGGCAGAACAATTTGAGCAACAAAATAAATATAGTATTGGACTGCAACCCAAAGTATAAGATAAATATCCATGAATACATGCTGATATAGATAGATGATTGAATAAATTAATAAACAGGATAGAAGAAACAAATACCACATACACAAGAATTTCCAATAAATTACATAGAAACTTGTTTTGAACTGAATTGTGTTCCCCAAAAATTCATGTCACTCAATGTGACTACAGTGGTAGACTTTAAGGAAGTAATAAAGGTTAAATGAGGTTATAAAAAAAGTAGGGCCTTAATCCAATAGGACTTGGGTTCTTTATTTTTTTTTTTTTAAGATTTTATTTATTTATTTGCTGGAGAGAGAGAGAGAGCACAAGCACTGAGCAGCAGGCGGAGTGAGAGGGAGAAGCAGATCCCCATTGAGCAGGGAGCCCGATGCGGGGCTCGATCCCAGGACCCTGAGATCATGACTGAGCTGAAGGCAGATGCTTAACCGACTGAGCCACCCAGGTGCCCCAGGACTTGTGTTCTTCTAAGAAGAGGAAGAGACACCAGAAAGCTCTCCCTCCCCATTCACACAGAGAATTGCCTATGTGAGGACACAACAAGAAGGTGGCTGTCTACAAGCCAAGAAGAAAGGCCTCACCAGAAACCAACTCTTATGTCACCTGGGACTTTTGGCCTCCATTACTGTGAGAAAATAAATTTGTTGTTTAGGCCGCCCAGTCTGTGATATTTTGTTACGGCAGCCAAGCAGGCTAATATGGATTTTGGCACCAAAGTGGAGTGTAACAAATACCTAAAAATGTGAAAGTGGCTTCGGAACTGGATGATGGGTAGAGGCTAGAAGAGTTTTGAGGTGCCTGCTAGTAAAAGCTAGGTTGCCTTGAAAGAGCTGCTGGTAGAAATATGGATGTTAAAGGTAATCCTGGTGAGGACTTAGAAAGAAAAGAGAGCTGTAGAGAAAGCTCCTATCATCTCAAAGAATATACATATCCTATAATAAAAAGAATGTTGGTAGAAATATGAACATTAAAGGTGCTTCTGGTAAGGTCTCAGATGGAAATGAGAAGTATGTTATTGGAAACTGGAAGAAAGGCAATTCTTGTTATAAAATAGCAAAGAATTTGGTGCGTTGTGTTTAATGTTTTGTGAAAGATAGAACTTATAAACTTGGATATTTAGCAGAGGAGATTTCTAAGCAAAGTGTTAAAGCTGTGGTCTGATTTCTCTTTACTGCTTATAGTAAATTGCAAGAGGAAAGAGATAAATTGAAGAAAGTGTTAAACAAAAAGGAACCAGAATTTGAAGATTTGGAAAATTCTCAGCCTATCCATAATATAAAAACTGAGAAAGTGTGTTTGGAGAGAACACCAAGGATGTGGTTGGACAATCATTCCATAAAGAGATTACCCATGCATTTAAACAGCCAGCTCCACAATGAAGACTATTTCATTGTACAGATAAAGATATGCATATAAGAATTTTAGGTCTTATGTATTTCTACACTTAAAGCTTAAAATGACCATGAGACTCAACTTCTTAGTATGATCCACCTGTGAATCTTATTGGAAATATTGACTTGGTGTCCTTATATAGTATAGTCAACCACTGAATTATAGGCACATTAATTTTTACCTTCCATGGTCCAATTTTCTTTCATACATTCCAATTCTGTGTGAGTTCTTTTGTAGTCTTTTTTTCAAGAAGCTGAGAATATTTTTGAAAAAAAAACTGAAAAAAAAAAAGGCCATTCATTTACCTGGTAGTGTTATGACTTTGCCTTCTATTGTTACTTTCTTAGATTCTATTTTATAGCCAGCAAAATCTACAAATGCCCAATTGTTTGAGAAGGATCCTGATTACAGAAAAGATGTCTCATCCCCCCACATTCAATGTAATCCTAATTCTACTGATTTTGAAACCATAGATTTCCCCAGGAACAGCTGAAAGATCAGTAGTTGAAAGAGGACATGATAGTTCCATTAGAATGACTGCAAAGGGATTTATCCATATTTTCCTTCAATACTAAATGCAAAGGCTAAGCCTTGGAGGTGGAAAAATGGAGGAAAAACAAACACTTCTATCTGAGGATGTACACAGCATAGGTCTTTGTGGGGGAAATGAGCTAATTCTAAGGAGTTCTGGGTTACCTACAGAGTAAGAAATTTTTTTTTAATCCAACATTAATCAGGAGGAATAGGCATTATTTTCTTCATCTTCTTTCCTTTACTCTATCTACTCCTAAATGGCTCTTATTCCTCACCACACCAATATACTCACAACTTAAAAATAACTTACCTCTCCCTCTAGAAAGTGAATTTTCTCTTTCTTTCCTCCTTATCTCCCATTTGCTCCTTGACCCACCACATACTGGCTTCACTACTTCTTATGCCTTTTAAAAATTCGACAAATTCTTAAAGCCAAAGATACGAGGAAATCCACTTATTTGCTAAATTGGCTTTTACATCTTACAGTCTTGGGCAGGACATTTCTCTCCCGGAACATTTCTTCCCTCTCTTTTTTGTTCACCAGCTCATCTCAAAATACGTCTCTGTGCACTCAAAAACCCCTGGCCTTATAAACACTAATAGGCAAATATAGCTTTGTCCTCATTTACCACAACTATCTAAGATAGAAATGGTGCCTAATAGATGTCTCTCTGAACACAAACACATGTACACACATGTACTCTTCAATTTCTCTAAGGAGTGGAGTCCATTATTTTTATAAACTAAATTCAAATAAATAACAAAATTCCTAACAGATTCCCATTAATTGTGTCCCTCCCCACCACCCCCAAAGAAAACCTCTTTTCCAGATTTCTGGATATATCCATCATTAAATGTATCTAATGGATGTCATCTCTTTATGTAAGACAGACATTCCTCATAGATTCAGATGGGTACTTACTGATAAAAGTGATAAAAAATGAGATTGCCAGTAGCAGCAGAAGTACCAGCAATGAGGCAAAAAGTAGCTTGGGAAAACTGGGGTTACTTTTGTGTGGGCTGGTCTTCTCTTTGGGAGCTGAAGGAGAAATCAAATGAGGTTCATCAGTAATAAATTCTGGCTCTTACTTCCCTTCTCCTTCTCCCTTTTCTTGGATGACATAGTATTGCCAACGATACGACATTTGAAATAATATGAAAATAGGAAAAAAAATAATAATGTTCATTGTAGAAACTTCAGAAAATATATAAAAGTACAGTATCCATTGAGATAACTGTTGCTAATGTTTTGGTATATATCCTCCCAGTAATTTTTCAAAGTGTATATACATACACACATACATTTTTCCACAGGATTGACATACCATATATACTGGTTTCTGACCTACTACATTCTTATATACTATACCATGAACATTTTTCATACAAGTATATTTTCTTCTTTAACACTCTCTATTACGGTGACATAGTATTTCATTACATACGTAAATAATCTTCCAGATTGTTCCCAACTTTAACTACTTTAAATAATGCCATAGCACATAAATCTTTATTATAGTCATTCCCTCATCACATTCTTAAAATACGGTCAGAACTTTTTAGTCACTATTTAATGGTTAAGTCACTATTTCATTATTTTCTCAATAGGTAGTATCAAAAAGACAAGAAATAACAGTGTCGGCGAGGATATGGAGAAAAGGGAACCCTCATGCACTGTTAGCGGGAATGTAAACTGGTGCAGCCACTGTGGAAACCAGTATGGAGGTTCCTCAAAAAATTAAAAATAGAAATATCATATGATCTATTAACTTCACTACTGGATATTTACCCAAAGAAAACAAAGACACTAAATCAAAAAGATATATGCACTCCTATGTTCACTGCAGCATTATTTACAGTAGCTAAGATAGGAAAGCAACCTAAGTGTCCACCCATCCATGAATGGATAAAGAAAATGTGATATTTATATACAATAGAATATTATTCCACCATAAAAAAAGAAGGAACTCTTGTCATTTGTGATAACACAGATGAGCCTTGAGGACATTATGCTAAGTGAAATAAGTCAGAGAAATCAAATACCATATGATCTCACTGATCTGTGGAATCCGAAAAACAAAACAAAGCAAAACTCACAGATACAGAGAACAACAGATCAGTGATGGCCAGAGGGGGGGTGGGTTATGAGTGAAGGGGATTAAGAAGTACAAACTTCCAGTTATAAAATAAAGAAGTTGTGGTTGTAATGGATAGCATGTTTACTATAGTTAATGCTATAGATTATTACAGTATTATCAACTATTAAGTATTATTACATACTTGAAAGTTGCTAAGAGATTAACTCTTAAAAGGTCTCATCACTAGAAAAAAAAATTGGGTAACTTTATGGCGATGAATGTTAACTAGACTTACTTTAGTGATCATTTCACAAATATATACAAAAACCAGGGGCGCCTGGGTGGCTCAGTCGTTAAGCGTCTGCCTTCAGCTCAGGTCATGATCCCAGAGTCCTGGGATCGAGCCCCGCATCGGGCTCCCTGC